GATCCAATAGATTCCTCTTTGTCCGTGGGGAGTACTCATAGGGGTCTTTTCAGAGAGTCTCTTTATAGTCTTTTTGAAAGCGAGCGGCAGCTAGCCAAGAGTGCCGAAGYGGGGTARACTGGCCAAGAGRTGGGGAAAGAATGYGCATTGTTTTGTAAGGTGTACAGTACAAWGCAWACAGTTCTYCTGCACTTTYGCAGCAAGAACAGTGCAGCCATCCRTAGCTKACACCTTGTTCTCAGCAGCCTGSGCACTGGCACTTGGCAGACATTCCACCTCGATCGGGCCYGGACTTCTTTCAGCAAAAGCCCCCCTTCCCCCYTTGGGGTTTTTGGGTGTTCAGTCTCTGTCCATCTCAATGATCGTGAGGCAGATGAGGSACTTCCWYACCATCTCTTACAGAGCACCTGGGTCTTTTCACCACAAAAAGTTGTATTTGTATGTGGTGGTGTGTGTTGGAGCCAATGTAAGTGAGAACAATCAGTGATGGGCAACTGGTGTCAGGTGCTTGTGAAACACATGCTTGCTTTTCTGCTTTGGTGCAGATCCCAAGGAACCACTTCGTGATCTGTTCCAGTGGGATGAATAAACGTGCCATTGTACAAATTTGCTCCAAGTTCCACCAAAAGCTTTTTAACTGATACCCCGCATTCCCTATGGGCGCTTGTTGCTGTCAGGGTCTGTTGTGCTTCTATGTAGTTAAAATACACAATCCTTGTAAAATACAAACAGTGTTACATCTTGCTTGGGTTATACTTACATGAACACCTTTTATCTGTGATCAGACTAGAAGTTGACAATGTGAATATGCTGGGTTTTATGTTAAACCTTTAAGACATTCTGTATTCCTCATGTCGACCGGAAGCTCTTATGTTTTTATCATCTGTGTTACCCCTGTGGGTGTTTGTAATCACAGTGTTTTCTCTGAGAGCTGGATGGAAGGGAGACTTTCTGGCACTGCTTCACAGAGCCTGGGAGAAGGCTCTCATCTGCCCTACGTCTATTGTTGGCATGAAGCAGTGTTGGACTTTTCTCCAGGCAAAGGAATGGCAAGGTGGACCTGTGTGTGAACAACACAACATTATGGAGTCAACAGAGGAACCAATCATAGCTGATGTCTGAGGGTGYAGTCACATTTGGAGAAGGCAGCGCTGTATAAATCCGAGAGAGAAGTTTCTTAGAGACTGGAGACCTCTTACCAGTAGAAATCAAACCAAGACTAATGTCCTTATTTCTACAAAGGGGAACACTAAGATCAAGTCCATCTTGGGCTTTATTTTCCTTTGTTTCTATTCACAGGCCTTTTCAGTTTTCACAGTGGGAAATTAATAACACAAATGTTTCTTTAACTTTGGTAGCTGAGAGACTCTAATATGGAGGGAAGGATGGGATGGGGCCATAATGTGTCCACTGTGAGGTCATTTTCCAAGTATTGTACACATACTATTGGTGGTGTACCTGCCTCTGCTGGCATGTTTTTTGTGCACTGCCACCAGGACTCATCCTGAATACTGGCAGTGTACTTGAGCTGAGAAGGGTAAAAGGAAGATGTGGGAGCTGTGGCCTAAGAGGTATTTGCCTGTGACTCCTCTCCCTGGGTCTGGGTTTGCTGTACAATTCAGGCAACTCCATTCCTTCCACACTATTAAAAATATCTAGCCTTCTCTGCAGGTAACAGCAAAG